GCGGATCCTGGGGGGGGGCTGCAGGGATCCCAGCGGACGGGATCTGGGAGGCGGGGATCCCAGTGTGGGGGGCTGCAGGGATCCCAGCGGATGGGATCTGGGATGCGGGGATCCCGGGGTGGGGGGCTGCAGGGATCCCAGTGGATGGGATCTGGGAGGCGGGGATCCCGGGGGGGGGCTGCAGGGATCCCAGCGGACGGGATCTGGGAGGCGGGGATCCCAAGGGCGGCAGTGGGGGTGGAGGATCCTGGGAGACATGGATCCCAAGGGGGGCAATGGGGGTGGGGATCCCGGGGGGGCAGGGATCCCGGGGTGTGGGGATCCCAAGGGGGGCTGTGGGGGTGGGGATCCCAGGGGGGCAGGGATCCCGGGGGGCGTGGATCCCAAGAGGGGCAGTGGGGGCAGGGATCCCAAGGGGGCAGGATCCTAAGGGGGACAGTGGGGGCGGGGATCCTGGGGGGTATGTATCCCGGGGGGGGGGCGTGGATCCCAAGGTGGTCAGGGAGGTGGGGCTCCCAGCGGCGCGGGGCTCTCAGCCGGGCTGTCTCCGCAGGGGCTGGAGGAGGACCTGGGCTACGTGGTGGGCGACTGCCTGCTGGCCGCTGCCTTCCTGTCCTACATGGGGCCCTTCCTGTCCAGCTACCGCGACGAGATCGTCTCCAGCATCTGGATGAAGCAGGTGTCTGGCACCCGCGGGCCCTGGGCACGGCACCCCGAGCACTCGGAGCCCCGGCTGCTGCTGTCCCTGCCTGGCGCTCTGCCTGGGGGCTGCCCCCTCCGGCCCCACATGTCCCTGAGGCTCCAGGGGGCAGGTGGGCTCGCTGCCTTTGAGTCACGCTGGCCAAGTCTTCCCACTGGGCTCCGGGCACTTGCCCCTGTGAGCCCAGCGCCATGGGGCAGCTGGGGGGCGGGCAGCCCCAGTGACCCTGTGCTCTGTGCCCGCAGATCCGGGAGCTGCAGGTGCCCTGCTCGCCACGGTTCACCTTCGACAGCTTCCTCTGCAACCCCACCATCGTGCGCACCTGGAACCTGCAGGGGCTGCCCTCCGATGCCTTCTCCACCGAGAACGGGCTCATCGTCACCCGCGGCAACCGGTGAGGGGCCTGGCCTGGCCTGGCCGCCGGCCTGCCTCCAGTGCTCCCGGCCCCGCCCGATCCACTGCCCCCGGCCCTGTCCCCGTCCACCACGCTGCCCCCGGCCCCGCCCAACGCACTGCCCCCGGCCCTGTACCGTCCACTGCCCCCGGCCCCGCCCAACGCACTGCCCCATGCCCTGTCCCCGTCCACCGCGCTGCCCCCGGCCCTGCCCAAGGCACTGCCCCCGGCCCCGCCCGACGCATTGCCCCTGGCAGGGACCCCTCGCCCGGCGCTGATATGCAGCCACTTCTGGGGAAGGGCGGCTGGTTACACGGGGACCCCTCGCCCGGCGCTGAGATTCAGCCACCTCTGGGCAGGGCGCCTGGTTACCCAGGGACCCCTCGCCCGGCGCTGAGATTCAGCCACCTCTGGGGCGAGGTGGCTGGTTATCCAGGGACTCCTCCCCCAGAGCTGAGATTCAACCACCTCTGGGGTGGGCAGCTGGTTACCTAGGGATCCCTCGCCCCGGGTGGGGCATGGCAGCTGTTTCCCAGCTGCGCTGGGGGGCAGAGGAGCGGCTGAGGCAGGGACGGGGGGCGAACGCTGGGTGCTGGCTGGCGCTGAGATCCCAGCAGGAGGCGGCCCAGCTCTGAGCCCCATTGATCTGCCCCTGTCCCCGTTGCCAGGTGGCCGCTGATGATCGACCCGCAGTGCCAGGCCTCCAAGTGGATCAAGAACATGGAAGCTGCCAAGGTGAGCAGCAGGGGGCGGTGCCTGGGATCCCCTCACTCGGGGGGCAGAGCTGACCGGAGCCACTGCCCCCACTAGGCCACACCCTGCCGTGTGCCCTCTGCACTCTCCTCCCGGCTCCTGTCCATCCCGTGCCCCCGGGGGCTGGCAGCTGGCGAGGGCTGGGGGCGCAGAGGGTCCGGGAGTGGGGGACTGACTGCTCACCCCGGTGCTGGCGCCCCCTGCAGGGCCTGAAGATCATCGACCTGCAGATGGGCGACTACCTGCGGGTGCTGGAGGGCGCCGTGCAGTTCGGCTCGCCCGTGCTGCTGCAGAACGTGCAGGAAGAGCTGGACCCCTCGCTCGCCCCCATCCTCAACAAGTCCGTCACCAGAATTGGTGAGGCCAGGCACCCGGGCCTCCGCTGCGGGGGCAGGGGCTGGGAGCCAGGACTCCTGGGTTCTCTCCCGGCTCTGGGAGGGGAGTGGGGGCTGATGGGCTAGAGCAGGCGGGGCTGGGAGCCGAGACTCCTGGGTTCTCTCCCCGGCTCTGGGAGGGGGAGTGGGGGGCTGGTGGGTTAGAGCAGGGGGGGGCTGGGAGCCAAGACTCCTGGGTTCTCTCCCCGGCTCTGGGAGGGGGAGTGGGGGGCTGGTGAGTTAGAGCAGGGGGCGCTGGGAGCCCAGACTCCTGGGTTCTCTCCCTGGCTCTGGGAGGGGAGTGGGGGCGGGTGGGTTAGAGCACGGGGGGCTGGGAGCCGAGACTCCTGGGTTCTCTCCCTGGCTCTGGGAGGGGAGTGGGGGCTGGCCTGGGGCCCCTGCTCACATCCCCAGGCAGGGCCTGGCTGCGTTCGGGGGGCCCTGACTGCCCCCATGTGTGTGCCAGGTGGGCGCCTGTTGCTGCGGCTGGCGGACAAGGAGGTGGAGTACAGCCCCGACTTCCGCTTCTACCTCACCACCAAGCTGTCAAACCCCCACTACACCCCGGAGACCTCCTCCCAGACCACCATCGTCAACTTCGCCGTCAAGGAGCAGGTGGGGCAGGGCCGGTTCCTGGGGGGTAAGGGGTCACTGCCAGGGGGCTGAAACCTCCAGGGCTGGGGGGACGACTGGAGATGGGTGGCACATGGGGGCTGGCTTGCTCTGGAGGCAGGCCTGACGCTCCTCGTCTCGGCAGGGCTTGGAGGCCCAGTTGCTGGGCACCGTGGTGCGGAAGGAGCGGCCCGAGCTGGAGGAGCAGAAGGACTCACTCGTGCTCAACATCGCGGCCGGCAAGAGCAAGCTGAAGGAGCTGGAGGACGAGATTCTGAGGTGGGGCTGGGGCGGGGCAGCTGGTGACGCAGGGACCCCTCGCCCAGCGCTGAGATGCGTCCACCTCTGGGGTGGGCAGCTGGTTATCCAGGGACCCCTCGCCCAGCGCGGAGATTCGGCCCCGTGACCCATTCCCCGGTGAACAGAAGGGCGGTGTATCTTAGGGGGCTGTGACGAACTGGGACTGTTCTTGCTGCGGTCTGTGAATGCTGACAGGGGAGTGTGGCTAGGATGGTCTGCACTGGGGGATGGGAGACTGCCCGAGGGAACATACCTGAGCATGTAACATGAGAACCCAGGGAGGGGTTAGAGGCCAGGTGACACCTTTGCCCGGGAAACTGAACAAAGGCTGTGGGAGGGGTTGCTGAAGGCAGAGTTTCAGGAGTTGGCTGGTGATGTGGCTGGGAGGCAGACAGGGCTCTGACCTCCCAAAGGGGCTGGGGTGCCCCTGGGACCCCAAGATGGACCTAACTGAGGGGGGTCCTGTTGTCTGTGCCTGCAAGACCTGTCTTGGACTGTGTCCCTGTCATCTAAATAAACCTTCTGCTTTACTGGCTGGCTGAGAGTCACGGTGAATCGCAGGAAGCCGGGGGTGCAGGGCCCTGAGTCCCCCATACTCTGTGACAACTGGTGGCAGTGGCGGGATCTACTGCACCCCGTGGACGGCGCTTCCTGCAGTAAGTGACTGGGGAGCAGTAAAACGAAGGGGGATTGACGGGGACCAGGCGTGCTGAAGAGTGAGAGAGAGACGGTTATTACCCCTGGGAGTGTGTGACCAGCGAGAAGGACTTTTGCAGTAACAGGGTCCCCCGGGGGGATCGCAGCGAGTGGTCCCAGGGGCGGAGGAGTCTGCAGCTCAACCCTGGCAGAGAGGGGGTGACCTCGAGAAGGGCTGGCACACTAGGGGTCTCCCTGGGAACTGTGGGGAGCTGTGAGCACACAGGCCGGTGAGTGGCCAGCAGGAAGATGTATGCCAAGCGGCTTAAGAGCGACCTGGTGGAGCTGTGCAAGCAGAGGGGGCTGCGCAGTGGGAGGCTCACCAAAGAACAGCTCATTGCCCGGCTGGAGGAGGGAGATCGCGCGAATGAACTGATCCCTGTGTCTCAGGGAAGCAGCCTGGCAAATGCAGCGCAGGCACCAGTGTCTGTCCCAGCTGGGAGTGGTCAGCCAGCTGCTGAGGGGTTCCCGAGACCCCTCCTTCCTATGCCTAGGGGAAGGGTGGGGAGGAGCCCAGCAAATACCGAGGGCACCGTGACCCCCCCGGCCAGCAGGGGATCCTCCCGGCGACGCGTGGCATCCGTGGAGCGGAAGTGGCTGGAATGGGACAAAGCTAAAACTGAGAGAGCTGGAGGATCGTGAACAACAGAGACAGCATGAAGAGAGACAGAGGCATCATGAACTGGAGGAAAATGAGAGGCAGAGGCAGCATGAAGAGAGACAGAGGCTGAGGCATCATGAACTGGAACTGGCGAGGCTGAGGGGCAGCGAGCCCCCGGCTGCGGTGAGTGAGGGGGGACCCAAGACTGCACGAAGCTTTGATAAGTGCATCCTGGCCCCACGTAAGGAGGGGGAGGACATGGATGACTTCCTGGATGCCTTTGAGACGGCCTGCGAGCTGCACCAGGTTGATCCTGCGGACAGACTCCGGGTTCTCACCCCCTTACTGGACCCCAAAGCCGTGGCATTGTACCGCCAACTGGAAGAGGCGGAGAAAGGGGACTACGAACTATTCAAAAAGGCCCTGCTACGTGAGTTTGGGCTGACTCCTGAGATGTACCGGGAAAGGTTCCGGAGTCAGGATAAAACCCCTGAGTTCTTCTTCGAGTGCTTGCTCATATC